GTTGATGTAGACCGATTGTATGTGCGTGCTAGATCAGCCACGTTCACGCCTCGTTCTCGCTTTTCAATGATTTTACGTTTCATTTCTACGGTTATTTTTATTCTCTTATGGCTGTCATTTTGGGGCTTTTTCTTCGGGGACATTTTTGCAAGGGTTATTAAACTTTGCACAAAAAAAACACAAATAATATGTCTGAACACAAGTTTGGAAAAATGTGTGATCACAAGCGACACTAAGATGCTAGCGGAACGAGTGCTAAACACAGACTGCTGTAGCAAGCGCACAATCCGGGACTTCCCCTCTCGTCACTCGTTATGCGAAACGTCGCTCGTTAAGCGAGTCACTTTTTTGCAATTTGTTTTGCTCGTTATGCGAATTACTCGTTATGAGAGGTGCTCGTTAAGCGAGCTTCCACTGTAATTCAATTTTGAATAAGGAAGAATTGTCTGATCAGTGGAAGCAGTGTATTATTGTACCAGTTCACAAGAAGGATGATAAAACTGGCTGTAGTAATTATCGGGGGATATCGCTGCTATCAACTTTATATAAAATTTTATCCAATATTGTACTATCACTATTATCCATACATAGATGAAATTGGGTAATGTCTGCTACCATTCAGTCCAGAACCTTCTGTTTTCTTGTCTGCTGTCGAAAACATAAAAATTGGATTACACAAAACTATAATTTTGCCTGTGGTTCTGTATGGGTGTGAAGCTTGGTCTCTGACATTACGCTAGGAACATGGACTGAGAGTGTTCGAGAACAGGGTGTTGAGGGGAATATTTGGTCCAAAGAGAGATGAAATGATGGAAAGTTGGAGAAAACTGCATAACGAGGAGCTTCATAACTTGTACTCTTCTCCAAGTATAATTAGAATGATCAAGTCGAGGGTTAGGTGGGCAGAGCATGTAGCACGAATGGGGGAGACGAGAAATGCGTAAAGGATATTGGTGGGAAAGCCAGAAGGTAAGACACAATTAGGAAGAACAAGATGTAGGTGGTTGGACAATATTAAAATGGATCCTAGAGAGATAAAATGGGATGGTATGGATTGGATTTATCTGGATCAGGATAGAGACAGGTGGAAAGCTCTTGCAAACATGGCAATGAACCTTTTGGTTCCATAAAATGCTGGGAAATTCTTGAGTAGATGCACAATTGGCTGTTTCTCAAGAAGGGCTCAGCTCCAAGTATGAATGAATGAAGAATGGGGTAACATATAATTGTCATAGGGTTATGGTATGAGAATTCTACTCAGCAGATATAAGTAATGTGTTGCCTAATCCTATTCCCCATTTCTCTTAGCTATAAATCTTGACAATAATAAAAAAGTTCATCAGCTGAATAAACAGAATTATATATTTAGATTTCTTTCAACTTTCCTGTGTATTGGTTTTCATCTCCTATTGATTCAACTAAAATTTTGGCAAACTTTTAAAAACGTTTACACTCATATATTGAACCCCTTTTTAGCTTAATGGCAGATGTGATTGTAATACATGAAGGTTACCTCCATGCCTTAACTTATTATGAATTGCACAATTAAAGGCAAAATGCTCTAAATCGTTTATCATGAAAGTGATCAATAGTAGTATATAGTGTGAGGCCAGTGTTAGTCTATTTAATGTTTTAAATGCTGGCCTGCGTGTGCTTCTGCGCTTTATTCCCATAATTATCCTTACAGTTTTTTTTTTGTAACAAGAAAACTTTTTTACCATCTGGCAATTTACCCCAACAGATTACTCCATACTTCATAACTGAGTGGGAATATGCATGGTACATCATACCAAGTGTTTTAATATTATTACAGTACTTCATATTCTTTATTGCAAAACATACATTGCCTAGTTCGTGTAACAGTTTCCCAATTTGAATGTATTTTTCCCTTCTCATTATGGCATAGTTCAACCCTTTATTTATTTATTTTTTCAGATAGGACTTGAACCACCTTATTGTTTTAGCACAATAGAACAGATTACAGCTTAAATAATATTTTCCTGAAGGATCTAAGAAATACCTTGCTCGGGCGCCAGCAGGCAAGTGGGGGCACACTACGTATCTGCCTCCCCTCCCTCTATGAATTTTCAGAAAGAAATCACTCTCACTCACTCGTGGAGCTGAGCCAAATTGTAAAAAGGGACATAGCCAAATATTAATACCAAAAATTTGAATTATTCTTCTCTCCTGAATACTCTAAGGCGATCAATAAAAATGGTCTTACAATGGCTTTAACATAATTTTCTGGTTGCCACCCTTCCCTCATATTTCCTGGCGGTGCTAATCCCTTAGAACGCTTATGAGAATAGCCTATTCCCGGCCATTAATATTTCACACGATTTATAATTATTGTATGGATTTTTTTCCCCCTGGCACTCCATGAACTTCTCCCTTCACTTCGGTTTTTCTAGATCTTATACATTCGGTAGGACTCCTTGGACGGGTGATCAGCTCATCGCAAGGCCTCTACCTGTACACAAACAGAAAAACGCACACACACAAACTAAACATCCATGCCCTGAGTCGGATTCGAACCCACGATCCCGGTTTCCAAGCGAGCGAAGACAGTATTGTATGGATTTACTAATTATTAATTATAATCATGACTGCCGTCGCTTACAATTAAACTGAATCGTTTACATGATAATATTAACCTATAAATTAAAGCTGTCTCTGTACTTAATTACGCACTATGGCATGAAGACGTATGGGGGAGTGGATGCTATATAGACCAACGTGGTAACATTAACCTATAATATTAAAAACATTCTCTACTCACCTTTCCGCTGTTGCAGTGTGCCAGACACAGCTGAACAAGTACTAATTTGTTACCACTACATGATTTGTTTTTTCGACAGATACGTAAAATAGAAATGGAAAATACTAACGCGAAACACAACCAACACGCAACACGTTTCTTCTCGCGTCTATCAGAATACTGTTTTTACGATATTTATCGATTTTTTAAATTAGTTAATAAAACAGCGTATGCTTTAATACTAATAGTGTAAACGATATATTTGTTGTGTATCGAACTTAAAAACTCGAATGGAACTTAAGTAGAAACTCTTCATGGATGTAACGAAAATATCTATACCTCCAGGATTATAGATTTCTTTTTCTTTGGCGCTACAACCCCAATTTGGGCCTTGGCCTACCTCCATGTGACTCTCCATTTCACTTCGGTTTACTAGATCTTAGACATTCGGTAGGACTCCTTGGGCGGGTGATCAGCTCTTTGCAAGGCCTCTACCTTTAAACAAACACAGAAAAAACGCGCGCTCACACACACACACACACACACACACAAACGCTAAACATCCATGCCCTGAGTGAGATTCGAATCCACGATCTCGGCTTCCGAGCGAGCGAAGACAGTACATGCCTCAGACCGCTCGGCTACCGTGACTGCTCCCGGATTATATGACAGACAATATTTCACTGCCTTCAGAAAGGCATATACTATATATATACAGTGACAACTTACCTTGTCTCTTGCGCCGTTTTTGTAGTATCAAACTTCCATTGGTGAGGGTACACTAATACACAGTATACATGTCAACCACACCTTTTTGTTTTTCAATACTGATGTTTATTGCAATATTATAACGCTACATGTTTCAGTCTTTTGGCCACAATCAGGCGTTTTCCAGATAATAAATTGTGACATTATTTGCTACCTAACTGCTTATGCAATGGATCCATTGCTGTTAGTCTTGTCATGTAGGTACAAACAATACATATAAACATATATACACACACAAGTACTCAATATTTTACATATAAAAATACATGCTGCATGAAATTAAGTTATGTAGGAGATCATGAACAAGAGAGCAGCCATTTGTTTCAGTGTACTGTATCTATTCTGAGAATGCTGATAATATTTTGATGTGATTATATCGAGTTTACTTATGGAATGTGACGCAGTTTACGAAAATTTTTAAGCTTTATTTCTTTTCTAAAACATGCATGCTGGTGTCCATACAAAAAAGTTCAGCATATTTGTTTAATTAATTACAGATATTAGTATATTCTTTTCCAGCATTACCTTAATTAGTGATTAGTACTGATAAGTTATTTTTTAATAGAAATGATGTTATAGTTAAGTATGTATGAGTCACATCATACTTTATCATAATAAACATCTACACATCTCTGCTTCTTCCAAATAATTCTATTCTAAGTTGTATTTGTATGTTTTCTTAAAAGGAATGGCCTTATTTGGAATCAGAGAGCCTATAACAAAAAGGATTATGTATTAATATTTTCATTTTAGCACTGATTTCAATTGATAGTTCTCTAGTTATCTTATAGTAACCAGCCCTTTTGTTCTTTATCATCAGCATCCTCTAGCACTCAGGGAGTGAGTTCATTTGTTGACCCATTCTAATCTCATGTATCCAATAGTATTTTCAGCTGTCATTCCAAGTTCTTTAATTTGTACCTGGTTTGTAAGCTTTAACTTCACAAGTCTGTTCCTTTGCATTCTGTCAACATTTTCAATCAAACTGATTTTATATTTTGAAATTTTGTCAAATATGGGTTCTGTTTCTAACTCCATGTTTCAATTGCTTTCATAGTACATCAAGGAGTATTCTTCTGTTTGTCTCATAAAATTAATTCAGCTCTGTAATCCCGTAATGTGTTTATACAGACCTTAAAAATGATAATACTATAGCTCAATAAGGATGTAATTCTGGACACAGACTGACACTCTGGCACTCCCATGTCACTTCATGACATATTAAGACACCCAAAATTGTAGCAAAGAATTCAAATAAGAAGCTTTTGGAATGCTGTTCATAGACTGCCATACCGCCTGAATGGATAAGTGAACTACATTCTTGTTTAATATTCATAAGTACCTACATCACACACATGTGAATTATGTTCGTGAAATATCTTAAAAATTAAGGGAACTTTACATGAAGATTATAACACAAATTGAATGTGCTCTAGATAATAACTGCCAGCACCTGCTTCTTGGCTTATTCTTCAACCATGAAATGAAGGCAGTATGTTCCTTCAAAATACTAGTGAACTTCTACCAAAGTACACTACTTTACATCCAAGAAGACAACACCCTTCATAAGAACTGCTGTGGGAACATGAAGTCCAATATATATTATTTATTTTGTTCTCTTAAAAGTCTTATTTGATGAAACTGTGTAACATGATCAGTATAGGTGCACTAAACTATCAAGTCTACAACACATATCTTGTATGATTAGCACAAAGAGTTATATACAAAGTTCAGCAGAGTACTAACTGTTGAACAGGCTTCAGACCTAACAGTATAACTTTCTACTTCACAGGGAATAGTCCCTATCAATGGTTTTTTCATAGAAGTGTGGTGCTAGTTCTTCCAACCAGGATGGCTTCACCACTGTCAACTCCTTCATGTACATTTGGTTAGTATGCAAGATCTCACAGAACAACAGCCTGCAAAATAACATTGTAAAACAATAAGAATGGTCATTTTCTAACTGATGAAAGTAATAATATGCACCTCTCCAACTTTTAATATTGTAAGTTATGTGTACAGCAATTTACTTTTTTTCTACATTCATTATTTTACGAGGGGAAGTCAATAATTTTCCGCAATGCAGTTGTATTTGTGTTTCTGTTGGCAGCACTGTCATTTTGCGCAGCGTTGCCATGCGTGGTTTCCTTGTCATTATTTCTGCACAGGTTTGATGTTGCTAGGTCAGTTCCATCATCGCTGCCTTGCCCTAATCATGGCTGCTCCGCTTTCTGTTTGCACCAAAGAAGAGCAATGTTCAGTGATCCGGTTTTTGTGTTCAGAAGGTGTATCAGGGGCCGCAATCCATCAAAGACTTTCAGCACAATACAGGAACAGTGTTTTGCCGCAACGGAGTGTCTACGAATGGATTGAAAAATTAAAAAATGGTCACACAAGTGTTACGCATGAGGAAGGAGCCAGACGACCACCCATGGCCACAAATGAAGACAACATTGAGCGCGCACATGACATGGTTCTGTTAGACAGACGAGTGACTATTGATGAAGTGGCAAATCGTCTGCAAATTAGTCATGGTTCTGCCTACGAAATCATCCACAACAGCCTTGGGTTTCATAAAGTCTGTGCAAGATGGGTCCCAAAACAACTCACAGTGTTGCATAAACAAGCGCACTTGGACATCTGCCAACAACATTTGGATTGCTATGGTAACGAACGTGATGTCTTTTTAGACAGAATCATCACTGGTGATGAAACATGGATCCATCACTGCGAGCCGGAGAGTAAACAGCAGAGTATGGAATGGAAACATCCACAATCGCCCAGCAAGAAAACGTTCAAAAGCCAACCATCCGCAGGAAAACTGATGCTTACAGTTTTTTGGGACTCACAAGGCCCAGTACTGGAACATTATCAGGAGAGGGGCACAACAATAAACAGTGCTTGTTACAGTGAGATGCTTACTGACAGGCTAAAGCCTGCAATTCGAAGCAAACGCCGAGGACTACTGTCGAAAGGTGTTGTGTTGTTGCATGACAATGCACGTCCACATGTTGCTGCCCACACTGCTGAAACCCTTCGGAAACTCAAGTTTGATATAATGGCTCATCCTCCTTATAGTCCTGATCTCGTCCCTTCTGACTACCACCTGTTTGGTCCACTCAAAGAGGCATTAAGGGGCCATCGATTCACCTCGGACCAACAAGTGAAGGAAGCGGTGCATGCGTGGCTCGCTGCTCAGCTGAAAACCTTCTTTTCCGAGGGCATCAGGAAGCTTGTGCAACGATGGACCTAGCACGTTGAAAAGCAAGGGGACTATGTTGAAAAATGATGTTAATGTAAGTTTTCTATTTGTATTGAAATAAAGTTTATAGCTACATTGAGGATAATTATTGACTTACCTACCTATAGGGAAGACAAACTAAGGTATCATGTCCATATTTCTGTCAGTCCACATGTTTCACTCTAACAGTTTTTGAACAAACTGACAGATTTCCATTGCACTTGGCTTGCCTGAATATCAAACTACTGCAGGCATGTCATCCCACCTTTGTTTGCACTTATCACCAGCAACAAAAATGTAACAGGCATATGAACTCTTAACATTCAAACAACACCAGTGCCATTCAGTGCAAAGTCCTGATATGTTGTGTGGTAATAGATCTTACAAAATATATACAACTTTTGACTGAGGTCATATTTTTGTAGAAAGTAACACAACATAGTATCCATGTAAAGCTGTACACAGCTTTCTGAAAGATGGCAATAAATGAAACAGTGGAACTGGCCACGTGTAATTTTGCATGGAAAAAGACATAAATATAGTATAACTCATCTGATATGCAAATGCATGTGGCAACTTCACAAGTCTAATTTGTAAACATGTGATATAAGATAATAAGCTTGGTTAGAATGTACACACAGCTCACCCCATCAAGAGCCCAGTAGCGATGAAAACAAACATCAATTCACTTAAGGAATAGTGCAATTTCTGTTCAGACAGTATTAACTACAAACATTTTTATGAAATGTGCTTTCATGCATATATTAAAAATTACACGCATGTCATATGGTCAGAATCTGTACTAGTGGTAATTACTGTATGTAGAGAAATAAACCTCTAAATTTTAAAATTAAGTATGAATTTCTGCTAGCCTCACCAAAAAACATGAAATATTAGAAGGAAAGAGAGCATCACAAGTTCTTCTTACTTCTGTTCACACGTGTTATCCAGGCCATTTCATGACTTTAGATCATAACTTCAACTGGTTATTCTGGCGTCATTCTGAGTGAAAAATGTTATATGATATAGGTAACATTGTTGACGGTTTGAGAGTTATGTGTAGGGAATAAAACAAACATGTTTATTATAATAAGAAATTATATTCACGTATATGATTTTATTATACCCTAGACTTTCACTGATATGGCAAGTTTTCAAATTGTCTGCTTTCAGCTCAAATATACATTCTTGCCTGTTTCACAGAAGACCGTGTAATGCAACAAAAAGTGTCTCAGTCATTGATGCTTGTGACCACACTGACAATGCAATGAATTCAGTCCTCATGTGTCCATCCTGCATTCATGAACAACCAAGGTACTGCTTCAGTGCTACATCATATGTTGTTTGATACATGGGAGCACCGTCATGCCAAAAGTACATTTATGACTGTGTTGTCAGAGACAACGGGGGTACATGGTAGTGCTGTTGGTTGAGGCACTATGCTACAAGCCGGAAGGTCGTGGGTTCAAGTCCCGATGAGGTCACTGGTTTTTTTTCAATTGATCTAATCCTTCCAGCTGCACTATGGCCCTGGGGTCGACTCAGCCTCTAACAGAAACGAGTGCCAGGAATTAATTAAATAATTTTCCTGGAGAGTAAAGAGCGGCCAGCATGTAAGACTGATAATCTTTGAGCCAATTGTCTAGATCACTGTTTCCCAACCTTTTTGGTGCTTTGGACCCCCTGTACCGAATGTTAATTGACCACGGCCCCCATAAAACCCAAAATGGAAATTTTTTATATTTTACATATCATAAAAGTGAAGCAGTAACTTACAATTTTACAACACTAAATGTGTCATTTATGACAATAAAATACTGTTATAAATGGAGCTTATTTGGAAGATCACGAACATATCAATTATGCCTAATAGTATGAATTTAACACTCACCTAATCAACGATCCACACTTTAACCACCGATCCATATCTAAATATGATCGTGAACAAACTGAACATCAGAAGTTTCATTGTGAACTAAATTATTTGAACAAGAGCAGAACAACTGAACATTAAACTGAGAAAAACACTTGTATAATATTATAAAAATTTACTGCACAAAAACTAAAGACACATGCGCTGTTCACTCTGCCACTGAAATGAATAAGAAACGTGATCAATGGTCCCAGCTCTATTCCCAACAAAAGAGGGATGGATTTGGTGGGGAGAGGGAGAATGGTCAGACAGCAGGTAAGCAGGACAACAGTCCACCCTGAAACATGGGTCTGAGATGCAATAGGCCGACCAAAAGAAAGTATCCTTAGAAAAAGCTACACAAATCATTGGTTATTCACCTCTGCTTTACAAAGAGGAGACGTAACGGTACCAACAGCCCCGTTAAATTTTACTTCAACCATAGGCCTCAAGAGCCAGAGATATACATTGCAAATATCCCAGGTGTGAGGAACATGATAAGATAAAGTTTAATGAAAATAAACTATCCCGCGGACCCCTTTTGAATTACTCCTGGACCCCCAGGGGTCTGCAGACTACAGGTTGGTAACCACTGGTCTAGATAATGTGAGACCCTCAATGTCTCACAACCCTATGGGCCTTCATGGCCTGTTACAGGGATAGCTTTACTTTACTTACTTTTACATTGTCAGAGACACATCTTTCAAAAGGCCTAGCAGTTCATGTTTCAGAAACTTCTCAAAGATTGAATCTGTCAGCTGTCCCTCCAAGAAGAATGATTCAATAAAAAAATATCTGTACTGAAAGTCTGCTTCCACAGTGCTATGTGGACTTACACTGAACCATAAATGTGAGTTTCTCACTTCTGATATCCCTGGACAGCAGCAGGTGTGTTTCCAGCACAAAATCCACAGACAAAGTGCATGTCTGCATGTTCTTCATTATTAAATGTTCATGACATGTTTCCCATTCTAGTTCCTCCTACAGTATCAACATTACACAACACATGTACTGTGCCATGCTTCTATGGGATGAACCTGCATGGACCTACATTCCAACACACACTTGCCGACTGACATCCATATGTTTTAGCCAAGATATAAGTTTTCCTGACCCACAGCTCTGTACACATATTTATAAACATTTTCTTTCTGAATGACCTGAGGAGCAACCTCCTCAAGTTATGACATAAAGTCATGAAAAACACTGTGTGTTAGGAGTCTATGAAATATCTCATAAGAATGTCTCAATAAGAGTTCTATACAGCTTTCAAAACACACCATTTTAAAATGGTATGGTCACCAACTTAGGAGTCAGGATAGCTAAGTCATTATAAAGACAGGCTACAGGCTGGATGGCCCATGTTAGATTCCCAGCAGCACAAGATTTTTCTCTTCTTCAGAATATCCAGACCAACTCTGGGGCCCACCCGGCCTCCTATCCAATGGGTACAAGAGGCTCTTTCCCCAGGGGTGAAGTAGCAGGAGCGTGAAGCTAACCACTAACTTCTATCTAGTGTCATGGTCAAGGAAGGTGGATCTATATGTCCACTCCCCATATGTCTTCATGGCATAGTGCACAATTAATTAAGCATAGGGTGAACTTCACCTTTACCTTCATGGGCACCTACTTGGAAAAATCTTGATGTAATAGATCATATACTCATATTTCCATAAGTCATATGTCTGTAAATTCTAACCAAGAAGGTAAGTCTGGCTTCTGCCTGTATCCCTTAATACTGAATAACAAAATTCAGAACAAATAAATTGATTAAACTGTCATAATATGTCTTGTAAATATAAAAGCTTGTTATAGTGTATTATTCTAACATTCTGAAGCCATATACGTACCACTTTGGTTGTTCTAATGTGTACAATACAGATGTGGGGTGAATGTGTAGTTCCTGGTCACCCCTCACAGTTCTGTACACACCTGAGTAATGAAGGTAGGCTGCATTTGGAAACAGGCCTGCAGTGATGCACTGACACACCTTCTCTACATCACCTAGTACATACACCTTTCAGGCTGATTATTACAGTTGCAGATTTAAACCAGAATAAACGTGCAGCTCACAAATATAAAACAAAAACTCAAATACAATAGTATTTTAACATTTAATATGGGAGAATTCAAATATTGACCGTAATGTATAAGATTTCTCTGTATCTCCCAATATGCATTTTTGCACTGACTCACGACTATCTGTGAGCCACTTGTTTACAAAATGTGGCAGCCTTGACATCTCACAACCTTATGGGTCTCCAAGGCCTGTTACAGAGATAGCTTTATCTTTACCTTACATATTGCAAGCATTTCCTCCTGTTAATATGGCTCTCATGACAAAATGTACTTTCTCAATTTATAGGTGCAATGTACTATATTTCACCCTTAAGGTGATGATACAATATCCTTGAACCCTCACAAATTTTCTAATGAAAAACTGTGACTGTGATATGGTGATCATTTGACATTAAATTTTTTAAATGTGTTCACATATTATCTTACTTAATTCTTATACCAGTAATTTTAGATGGAAGACTATGAACAGAGAAAATTCGGGATACATAATAGCAAATACACTAAATTCTGATACAGAATGGAAATCTGAATTAGGAATAATAAATAAAATAAATTATTAGCTATCTTCTAGGAGTGCATAATACTTTACTCAATTTTTTGCAGAAAGATTTTGGCTCTATAAATTATAATTGTGGCCAATTTGCAAAATGTAACTCAGTAATCCCAATCTAATTACCATGCCCAAATATCCAAAATTATACACACTTACCTTGACATGAAATGATGGGAACATTAAATTCTTTTAAGAGCTGTGACATTTGTGTTCGTATCTCCAGAGCCCTGCGTAATCCCTTGTAATTCAAGAAATACTTCTTGCACCAGTCCTGTGACATGCCATGTTTCACATAAGAAATGTACACATTAAGCAGTGTCAGAAGATCACCTTCTTTCACCTCAAATCTTCGTTTTGCAATTCGTGCCTTTATAGAATTCTGGCCACTGCTTGGTTTCGTGAACACATTTTGGACCTGCAGCATAGCTATAATGGATAGGATTTCTTCTGAGCAACCGAATTCACCTGAATAAAGATGTATAATTCATTTGCATCAGTTTCTGCTCTTTTAGCATACATTATATAAAAATATTACAATATAGTTTTACTTTAATTATTTGTGTTATATCTCCAACCATTTTTCTACCAGTCTCTTTAACAAAATCCTTGGTGAAATATTTTAATATGCTTATAGCTCAATATTATTTCTGAATAAGTATCCTGTATGAATTTACATTATGTATCTAAAGAAGATAATTTTATTGGATATCTTCCTGATCAATGATTGTTTTAGACAAATGTAGAACATTATGAAAGCATGAAACATTTATTTTAAGTTACTTATGAATGATATAGTTATGCTTTTGGATATGTGAATTACAGAGTGTAGTTTAGTACAGCACTCTCTAAAAATGAATAAAATATACTGAAAAATTGCCAGTGTTTCTAATCTTCATGTAAAGTGAGCTTATTTTTACGTTAGTATGTTCACACTTTCAAGAACCTGTGTAGAATAAAAGAAATGCCAACCATGAAGAAAGATTCTTCACTATTCAAGCACTAAAAGAGTGCACAGACAAAAATTCTGAAACCAATGTTTCTGGACTTGGTAGTACATAAAATATTCTTCTCTCTCAAAATGTCAAAATCAGTTTCTTTCACTATTACAATAACAAATTCTGAAAGTGATTAATGTTTCTGAAGTTAATTCTAAATCAGTACAGGCCAAAAGGCCTTTCTAAATTACTATTAGAATTAAGAATATCAATTACTAGTTTTTAAAATATTCATATTAACAAACAGGAAACAAACCAGATATCATAAGCGCCTTTGAATATAAAGGATTCATTGGAAACTCCGCCATTCTAATTCCTAATGGTTTGGTAAGTTGACCTTCAGAATCAATAGCCCCCAGTGCAAACAGCAGCCCTAGAGCTGAGTGCAGGTTCCTGGCTGGAGGTGGTGATGGAAAATTGAACCTCAAAACATTGTCAATGCCTAGAGCCTTTAAATGCAACACAGCCATGGAAAGCTCAGTACGTTGCATTTCTGGAGGTGTTGCTGCACTCAGGGAATTGAAGTCTGCTTCAGAATATAACCTGCAAATAATGTCAAAAAATAGTTTTATCCCTTGTTTAACTGATCATATACACAAAAATACAATAACATGTAAAAAAAGAACATGTTATTATAATGACCTTCAGCAACCCCAGAATTGTATGAAATAAAATTATATTTTTAATGAAAAATAATGAAACTGTAGAGTATTATTATCTGCGATGTGAGATCATAGTCTAATAGAAGTTTACCAATGGTTCTGAGGAATGTAACTGTACTGGCTCTGAAATATTAGTAAATTTCCACAAGACTATATGGCCTCACATCCCAGAAGATAGCAGTCAACAATGCAGAAACTCAAAATCCACATAAATGAATCTGGGTTAAAAATCTTGCATATTATATTGTCACAAAGAGATTTTAAAATTGAACAAGTACAATATGAGGCTATCTCTTTAACCTAAACTTCAAATCTTTAAGCCTAATATGGCTGTTTACTGCAGCAGCATGGTATAGCCTACAAACCATAATCAAGTCTGATGGTTGGCATTTAAAAACAAAAAATTATAATTATAATTCAGACTATGACACACAATTATAATATCCACCATGTGTACATATAATTCTTTCACAGTTATCCATACAAGAAGGAACAGAAATATAAGACTGAAGAGTACCTTCTGAATTATAATTGTGGGTAACTTTTGAGCAAATTAATTTAGAATGCAGGTTCAAATGTTATTTTAAAGTATGATAGTTGATAAATGTTAATGTAAAACTGATATAAAGTGTTTAGAAGAAAGGCAGGGAGAGTGTACAAAATAAAAACACCTTTAGTGGATGTTTATACCAGAACTGATTCAGGGTTTTTAGGTTTCCTCGTAGACAAAGGCATTAAGTACAGTACAAAAGGAAAGACATTACAGATGACAAAAGATTTAGCAAGAGCTGATCCACACGTGGAAAACTGAAATGATGGGAAATGATCACAGACTTTAGAAGATAACAGAATAAGTGAACAAGAATTAGAGACTGAGATTCATTTTCAGTGAAAATCCTGAATGTGAAGAAAGTCTACACCAAAAAAGTCACTGGAAAGAATCCTGATGATGAAGGCAGAAGGTTCCTTTAAGATACTCTTAACCATCTAACAGAGTACATGGTGTCATAATCCAGAACATAAGTCATCACTGCCATGAAAATATCATATTTCACACATGGCTGCCACCTGTTGAATTCATTCATCTGTAATCTGTCAAGATGACAGGTCCACAGTCTCTTCCAAAACAGTTCCTCCACTTGATGCGATCTAGAGCTTTCTCCTTCAAATGAAAATATCCTCTTCTGTCCCCAAGGTCATCCAGCATCTTCTTACGTCTTCTTCCTCGTCTTCTGGTCACTTCTATCTGCCCCTCTATCTTTCCTTCAACAACTTCTTTTAGAAGGCAGTTACTGCGTAAGAATACTGAATACTGAATACTGAGAAAAAAATCTGTGATGTTACAGAAAAAGTCCAAGTTACTGAACATTACTTTTTAGTAGGAGAAACAATGCTAGACATTTATGCAGTATTATACTTAACTTAGTATTTCATTATGTCACTAAATGGAAAGTACTGTACCTTAGCAACACAATTTAGTTCTCATATGATTGTTACAATTGGAAGACTTTCATGAAGCACTTACATCATTCTGAACAGTCTGTGACTGCACCTTCTTCTCTACAATACCACAGAAACATTCTTACAAGTTTTGCAATGAAAAATGCATGGTTATGTATCAAATGATTGGTAAATTATTCTCCATGCATTCATGTTTACCATTCTTGGAGTAAGTTCCCCAAAGTATTTGAAGACTATGATACTACTGACTTCTTTTCACCTGTATGCTTTTCCTGAACGTATCCTCCCTGCTCGACCTGCTCTTTGATCTGCAGATGCTTGAGACACTGGTACTACCACCAGAGAATCAGTATGAGTTTCAGGATTGAACCACCGCAGCTTCACAAACCCACAATCAATCACTGTAAATTAATTGGTAATTATTTCACATCCCCCACTTTTAATCAGAAAACTTATTACAAAAAACATAAATCCTTAAACATATCCTGCTAAAAAGTGAAAACCAATAAAAACTTGACGTTTATCCTAGTACATTAACTTCTCATTTTATAAACCTGTAATTAATGGATTTCCATGTCAAGAGTGCTCAAAAATGAACACCACTTTCTCAGTGCACGTAACAAATGTTTCGTATAAGAAATGAATGCCAAGCTGTGACTTCTCAGTCACCTGCCACAGAACCTGAGCCATCTACTTCTTCTTGTCTCTGTGTGTTTATGTCTGCATGTGCATGTGTGTGCCCACCATTCAAATTCTGAACCAGTTGTCAGATTTCTATGACTTCTGATATGAATATTATACCACTTTCTAATTTCCTACAGTTAGTAATAACATATCAGGCACACTAACATGTTCATTCCTAAGGTAATTTTGTTTCCATAAAATTTAATAAAAAAGATATTTTCTTCATCCCAAGTATTTCAGAACAGGAGAAAAAGTTTCAGACTTATTAACTTTGTCCACTGAAAACAAAATTTAAGTACCAGCTTCCATTACCAGCACTAGTCCACCAAAATCAGTAAAATGTGTACTTCAGAGAAGACTTCTGTCTTCTGCATTATGAAACTATGTAGTCTGGTAGACTGTTACCAACATATTTGGAGAACCTACTCCCTCTTATTCATCTACCCCGAATATGGCGGTAGCAGGTTCCTCCAAAACATTGGCCTTTATTGGAGTACACAGCATCAGATCCCTGAATACATTAATCTTCATTTGAACCTCAAATTTTATGCGTGAGCTGCAGAGTCAGTAAGTTATCTTACAATTATCTGCAAAGACTTCAAGGAAACATGGTGATAATGATATTAACTGTGATATTATAAATATGCCAATAACTATTTGATAAATATGTCACTGCAAAGTTAAAAATATGTTGGCTGAAACGATATTTTACAAGCAGCTGTGCTTTTAAATGCATTTAGAAATACTACTATTTGACAAGCACAAAATGAGCACATATTTTAAAATCAAACATATGTTTAGGAGAACATTAATGAACATTTCTTATTGAAATGAGGTTCATTTACACATAAAAATATATGTTCTATCACCACACGTCTAAAATTGTTCACTCTTTGCTACTAAATGCACTTGAGTTTCAATGTACTAAATTACACAATACAAAATTGCAAAAGAAGATACTTAATTTGTGTTAGGGATGAATATAAGTTTATAAGACCCAAATAGCATCACTAGAATTTATGAACAAAAAGAACATTATCTTAATATGATTTAATTATTACCATACACAATTCCAGGGATTGTTACTGATGTTTCTGCAATATTTGTAGCCACAACTACCTTACGTAGACCTCGAGGTGTGGAGCGGAAAACTTTCAACTGTTCTGAATTTGGCAGAGAACCATACATTGGAAGAACAAGAAGGTTCACTAAAACAAAAAAAAATCCATTTACCTCACTAGCAACAAGTCCCCAGGTTCATCTTCTACACTGTTTATGATTTACAACTCAAACAGCTGAAGAAATTGGTATTATTTGTGCAAAGTCAGAGAAAAATTATACATCTTGGATTCTATGTCATCAGTCATTCCACAGTGTTATTTGTATTTTACACAGAAGAATGTCTTCCAAATTCTTGCATACAAGGGCATCACACATGATATGAAACTTTATTACAGATTTCAGGATACACTCGTATATAAAATAGTACTTATAGAACATCTCACTGTTTTAATATTGTAGGTATGTTTTCATTGCTTTCTTTGGTCCCTTCAGACACATGATGTGATGTAATTCTCTACAGCTATGGATGAAATAAATAATAATCTGTCAAAAAATAATAATCTACCTGAAAGCAGATCATCACTGTTTCCTTTCTTATCCTTTCCTGTTCAACACTCAGAATTCTCCTTCTATTCAATCCTATATACTCTATCCAACTGAAAAAAGTATGAATGCATGTAGATAACATGTACTGTATTCTTCAATAGAACAGTATTTCCAGTAGATGGGGTTGCTAAGGTGATATATGCCATCTCCAGGTGCTGTTTATAGTTACCATTAATGTATCATTCTCTTGGTGTAAATTTACATCCATGTAAGTCGAGTACATATAGATTCACCAGTGTATTATACACTACCTCTGGTTAACATTTGTAGTTTAAGGTGAAGCTGTTGATTTTGGAAGTTCTATGTGAATGTATGTGTATGTCACTGAACACTAGTCTGTTTCAGGATTAATGGGTTTTGGACTTCATCCGTGTCCAGTATTCTAAGGAACACTAAAGGACACAATGCTTCAGAAACTGGATGTGTTTCTGTCCTCAGGTGAGGGGGTGGGAGATACTTACTCTGCTGGGTCCATTAGAAAGGGCTAACCCCAGTCAGTGGTACTGATCTTAGCTCTTTCTCACGGACACAACAGAGTAGGTGTCCCCACCCTCTCACCTGAGGATGGAAACAGATTCAGTTTCCAAGATGTGTTATTTAGAATACCAGACCCTGTAGACCCTACTAGTCTGCATGTCCATGATACATTTACTGTGACTATAGACAGGACTTGAAGATGGCACACATGTGCCAAAACATGTCATCTTAGACAGAAACACAAATGTGCTGGACATAGCGCTGTTTTGACAAAAAATAAAATAAATATTACCTATAGTGATTTACACAGCAGGATACAACATCAATAGAAGGTGTGATCAAGTAATCTGCATTGGATCTGAGACTCTCATAGCAGTGACTATGAAGTTTTCTATTGCATGGTGTTATATCCTAGAAGACAGAATTCTTCAAATAACTTTCAGATCATATTTTTATCTCTGATAAATGCATTTACCCTTCATTCTATGCTTTCTCCTTTACAGTAATTCTCTTAAGACTTGATGCAGTGAGTGTACTGATTACATCACTGTTAGAAGAATTTGCCAATGTCTTGGTATTCTGAAATCAGCAAATGGAGGTTGTAACTGTCCTTGAACTATGATATTTTTATCAAATATCCTCCCATTCTGTGCCAACTTCAGTTTCAGAAAAAGCAAGAAATCATATAGGGAACTGTACGTTTCTCTGAAGTCTTCACCGAAGATATTAATATGCTGACAGAAAGTACTTTTGCTCATCAGTTACGAATCAAGGCACAAATTTTTCAGCAATCTGTCATATGTTTCAGTCTTGCATCAAAATGATCTGGCATGATCTAAAATGAGATTCCTCCCTCATCAGCTAAGTCAAGGATAGTAAATGTTTGTTTTCATAAACAAGGGCCTCAATTTATGCCATATGTACTTTCATTCAGTTTTCTCATGGATGCACACATATCATATCTTCTCAACACACTGCTCCACTTCTGAGCTTGGGAAGTTAATCAAATGTTTGAGTTCTGCTTTCTGTTTTCTTTATGAAAGCAATTTTTAACACTATAGGTTTCTATAGCAGTTCTACACAGAATAAAGCAAGTTGGTTGCTTCTTACTGGTTGCTTATTTGGTTTACGCTTTGACCTTGAAGATAGAGGAAGTATGTTCCTAGAAAATAATGGTGAACTTCTACCAGACTACAAAGCAACACATCATAGAAGACAGTAATCTTCATAGCTGCTGCTGTAAGAACCTCAAATCCAATATCAGAACATTCTGACATAATTGTAGATTAGTTTACTACTTTGCATCAAGTGTGTAGTTATGAAGTCCGACAATATAGTTCGTGAGCTCACCACCGTGTGCTTGCTGTGGCAGCAGTGGACAGAAACCTCAGTATGGTTTGATCACATTGGCATATCAGCATTTCACATCTGTGTTGTTGATCTATGGCAGTCTCTCTCTGAGTAACTTCTATTATTGTCTGAGTGTGTTTTGGTGTGCCATCACAAGAATGTTGAAGCTTGAATTAGTAAACTGTCTGTGAGGGAGGTTTTAGCTAGTAAACAAATAACTGTGATGGAACACCCTCCCTATTCACCAGATCTGGTCCCCAGTGAATTTATTCTGAAAGGAAGGCATTTTGATGACACTGATGTCATTAGGAGTAATATGACGGCAGCTCTGAAGGTCATTCCACAAAACCAGTTCCAAAATTATATTGAAGGGTGGACTAGGTGCTGGCATTGATGCATAACTTCCCAAAGGGAGTACTATGAAGGTGACCGCAGTCATATTCAGCAAGGAGGTATGTAGCATTTTTACTGCAATGAGTTCAAGAACTTTACAGTCACACCACATATGTAGTACTGAATGAAGAGTGAAGATAAATATGTATAATAATTTGGAAATAAATGATTTTGAAATAAATAGCAAGGAAGCAGTCACAGCCTATTTCAAGAGACTTCCCTGATATCTGTCTGACAACATACCTTGAAAATAGATATCAAAGAACAATTATGAACGATATTAAACTTAATAAAGTATTTTCAAAATGGGAGCAGGTCAACATGGAGTTCCACAGGGCTCTATATCGGGACCAATATTATTTCTTATTTACATAAATGGTTTCCCATTTTCCTTAAAGAAATTAGCTCAACCTATATTATTTGCAGATGACACAAGTATTATTATATCTAATTCGAGTCCTGAAGAATTTAGAAGTAATATTATTTCAGTTGTTAATGAAACAATGACGTGGTTTAACAGGAACTTTTTAACTCTAAACTGTGACAAAACACATTTCTTACAATTCTTTTTAAAAAAGCATAGAGAAATAGAAATTCAAATTACATCAACGAACTCATTAATTACTAACATCAATTGCACTAAATTTTGGGGAATAAATATTGATAGCACCCTGTCATGGAAGAATCATATTACTGTGTTATCATCAAGATTAAATAAGGACTGCTTTGCAATGAGGGCAATAAAGCCCTTTATGTCATTAGATTCAATAAAGATGATTTACTACTCTTACGTACATTTGATACTGATGTATGGTATTATCTTTTGGGGTAAAAGCTATGGCAAAATTATCAAGATATCAATTATCTCACTGAGGTTCAAACTAGGTACTCACTAAATACAAGACACATATACAATCACTTAAGTAATCTGTTGTCATCTTCTAGTAATTAGTACAAACATTTAAAACAGTATATTTATATGCAACCACTAATTTTGAAACCAAAGAACTTATTTACTCTATCCAGGGGATCAAATGCCTAGGACAGCATGCTAAAAAGATGGCATGTGAATGGACATATAAAAAATAAACAATAAAAAATGTAAGTTTTTAAATTAACAAAAGAGGAAAGGTACATGGATTTCTGAATGCATTCTCTGCAAACCTCCAGTTTTTAATTGCCTAGAAGTTAGTTAGTTAGTTATTTAGAGAGGGTGGGTTTCCCCATGCACCGCGACCAGTTTGATCTACTGTGCTTCCCTCTATGATATTCTACCAGTCTCTTTACCCTACCGATAAATGGTGCATACCATCAGTCCCGCCAAGCAAGCGAGTTCAGCCACTTGCTTAGCGGTGTCTATAATGCTTCCCCCATCTATCAGAGGCCTTAGAGACTATTGTTGGGCGGGAAACGTCCTGGAATTTGGCTCAGTGATCCCCTTTGGGGATATGAGGTTCTTTTACGTGCCGTAAAGTTACGACACGGGACACACAGCTTAAAGTCCCTCCCGGAGGACTTGTTCCCTGAATTTTTCCGCCCTTAAAAATTCGACNGAGCATTAAAATTTCTAACATAACGTGTTATAACAAAGATAACTAGAAATAGTTAAAATGCTATTTTTCCTTGTATTTCATTCAACTGTCTGTTACAATACATCAGGAATAAGTTCATTTTGGGGGTGACTTCATAATTTGCACATTATAATTTTTAAAATCTGTGTTATCTTATTCAGTTTGTGCAGTGCTCTTTTTACAGAAAAGACCATTAGAATTTGTAGAGTATAGCAACATATTATTGTACAACACTGAGAGGAGTACTATGGTATGGAGAAATATATTAATATATTGTTCTTCCTACTATTTCACTAACCTTATGAGACCTAACTAACCAGATCAACCAGTTGATATTTAGGTTATTTAATGATAACATTTCAACTGCAGAGATTCTAAGTAATCAGGACTGGGCAAATTGTCAGATGATATCAATAATGTTCCAAAAAAAAATGGAATATTAAAGTTTCTTCTTTTATTTATCTCAGTCACCTCATACTGCACTCTTTTTTCATAAATGACTACTAAAATTAATATCATTGAGTGATATAACCTTGAAAATTAATCATGATGAAATGGACATATTTTTCCCTTTGTATTTTGTCATATTTTATCAAAACAAATTTCAAATATATGCTACTGGTTTTAATGAGGGCTGAATTTTATAAAATCACCGCCAGAAAAAAAAATAATAAGAATCCTGTTTTATATGGTTACATTATAACATATTATGTGCAAACTCTACTATAAATTCTTAGATATCAGGTATAGTAATCCTAAAATGCAACTTACAATTGTCCTTGTTATTAACTACTTGTTCCTTTAGTAGACTAACAGCTCTATCCACTTCCTCTTGTCCAGTAAGAAAAGCCAGTACATCTCCCGATGGCTCATGTTCATGGATTAATGTAACTGTATCCACTACAGCTTTCACATAATCTGGTACAGGTTCTTTAAAGGAGAACACACATATAATCAAGTTGTATAGCGTAACTGCACCATGCAGGAACACCATCAATGTTGTTCATTTATAGTATTAATTATAATTCACTACAAGTAAACAAAATGTATTACCAGTTAACAAAGGATGAAACACAATTGACCCCAGAACCAGCAGATGCCAAGAACGACATCTGGTCTTTCTTAGAGACAAGCAAGCTGCATGTAACTTGCAGACCCAGAACAGAACAGGAAGTATCCCGCTGCGTTTTCTGGGAATTTCAATGCTTAACTTCGGCAGTATGAGTCTTTGAAAATTTGAGACTCTACAGATACAACTCACAATAATTTTTGGAGAGGCGTGCCGAGCGATCGTTAGTGTACTTTCATTTATTTGAAAGCTGTCAGAGGGACCGTCTGGTACTTAGGCCCAAATTTACTTGGATCTCATTAAGGATTGGCGGAATGTAAATGAGACTAACACCCCAATTTTAGGTGCAGCCAATCGTCAAAATTCAGAGGAGAGGAAACTGGGCGTTCCCAGAACCGACAAGACTTCTGCCTCTCTGGAGCGATCAGTCTTCTTAGAGAGTAACAGAAGTAGCATTGCGACATTTGGACCTCCCGGACATTAAATAGGATGTTGCCCAAGTCCAGCACACAAATTCAACAGTGCTACAGCCTTGTAATAGGTAATTCTCGTTCAAATCTGCAATAAAGAGCGACAGTGTTGAGTGAAGTGTGTATTTCAAGTGTTCTCTATCTCCTTGTGTGAGCAAGGCCCAGAAGTCGCCCTGAGATAGAATCTTGTCCTACCAACTGAGCAGTCGAGACTCCGAATGCCCACATATCCACATCCCCCCTTTTGTTTACCCCGTTTACTAAAGTCCACTGGCGCCCACACTGATTCAAATTCAGAGTAATCCCACACCCTATCCTGAACCAGACAGCAATGAGGAAGAGGTGGATAAAAGTGAAGGAGCCACGCAACACCCACTCAGCCGTGGATACCACCCAGCAGCAGTAGTGACCACTACGGTGAAGGTAGGTGACCGACCCAGAAACCAGTGGGCATCGATCGACACATGAGAGCAAAATGGGGCAGTTAGAGAGATCAAGTGGAGCCCAGCGTAAGGGCTATCAACAATTAGAACAGATCATAGAACACTTCATGTTCACTTTCTATCACATAAATTCAATGTACCAAAACTGTTACATGTGAGAATATGTTTGTTAAAATGGTTTCAATTCCTAAATACAGTGACTTTTTACAGTACACACTTACCTGATGGAATGTTATTGTATAAATTAATAGATGCAATCAACACTTTACTGCTTATTTTGATCATCCAACACAAAAAAAGACAGATTATTTTTCAAATTGTTTGTGAAGAATAAAAAAAGGGAATTTAGTTTTTTTGTGGATTATTTAATAACATTTGCAGTGTCAAGACTATTCAGCACTAAATGATAGATGATTGATGAAGTGGAAGGAAGCAGTCATGGCATAATCAAGGTACTGCCCTAGCATTTGCCTGTTGACACTGAGGAAAACCAAGAAAAATATCAGTCAGGATAGGCAGTGTCCGGGACAAGATTCAAACCAAGTACCTCCCAAATATGAGTCTAGTCTGTTAGCTCTAAACCAAGCTGCAATAATGGAATATGAATTTGTGGAACAGGTACACATTAAATATATGGGCAACACACAACATTTGACTAAGCTTATTTGCTGAATTCTAATTAATTTCATTATTGTGTTCTTGTCAGTCTTATTCTCTATCACATCATGGAATTTCGTATCTCTCAACTAAGAAGCCGCAGGCAGCAACATCTGTGTCAATAGAATAGCCAAATGACTGGAGGGGGATATAGGGAAGTATGCTGAAGGAGAAAGCATAGCAGCTCAAGGGATATGTGGAGATGGTTGATCTATGGAACTTCTTTATGTGACCTTAGTAAAACTCATTTAAGGCAATGGTAACAACTAAAGCAGGCCTAGATATAATATGGTACCTTTCACATAATGTATATCCACTGGATACAATCTCCCTTCCACACTCATTATAACAGCAGTATCCTTTGTTAGATCTTTACTTGAATTATGATTAAAGAAGCTGTATAATTGTTCAGCATCCACAGTTGCTGATGCAACTATAAGCTTCAGATTCTTCTGTTTCTGCAACAAATCAAAATATAAAACGTTTCAAATTTAATGATTTCTATATGACTCATAAAATTATTCAGTGCTAGGAATAGGTCACCTCACCCTTAGCAGTGTACAGCAAGCTCTTTTTTAAACTGGTCCTACTTTTGCAGCATGCCTGAATATTGTATATAAGTCAGAGTGAAAATGAGTGACTTCCTATTTTAGTTAAGGTATCAGAATTAACAGTGTGCATTCTCTTGTGTGTCATAAGAAAATGGCAAGGTAAGGTTTCCGTCAACACAACAAATGTGGTTATACAATCAATCAGTACTTAGATTGAATTTTTATTTTCCTACCACTGCATGTTTAGGTCTTCATGGGACCATCATCAGGCAGCATTATGATCGATCGACTGAAGTTATTTGCACTCCCAAATACGGATCCATACTTAGTGCAATATGTACATATTACAGAATTAAATCTAATTTAGAATATAAGAAATTACAATATTAACCTTCTCAATATTAGGATTATATATAAAGAATTACATTACAGATGCATTAAAGATATATTAAAAAATATTGACATATTAAAAACTTTTTTGCATGTGATATTTACCAAAGGTAAATATTAAGTTCGTAACATATCATGAAATAAGGCCTTGGGAATGAAACTGAAAGTTATACAATTAGAACCTGAAATATTAAAGTTATTACAACAATTGCTAAGATTATTGGATATGATGTCAAATTTTCTCCTACATTCGTAGTTTTCATGTTGTGTGAATAATTGTGGAAAGCCGCATTGTTGAGCGTCACTCAGGGTGGAAGTTGTTACACCAGAGGTTATGCAGTAGTAAACGTATAAGGTAAAGGTAAAAGGTAAAGCTATCCCTGTAACAGGCCGTGAAGGCCCATAGGGTTGTGAGACATCGAGGCTCCCACATTTTCTAGAAAATCGGCTCACAGACGGTGGTAAGGTTGTCAGCCTTATGCGCCGGCTGCCCATTACCCCACAGGAAGATTCCTAATACTCATTTCTGTTAGAGGCTGAGTTAACCCAGGGCCACAGTGTGGCTGGAAGGATAGGGTAATTGAAAAAATCCAATGACCTCATCGGGACTAGAATCCCGACCTTCTGGCTTGTAGCATAGTGCCTCAACCAACTATGTTACCATGTGCCCCTGATAGTAAATGTATTATGGATATTACTGCAAGGGCTGTTATGGTGTGTTGATATTCATGCAGTGTGCATCATTGGGTACAAGACATATTGATGATATGTGTGTGCATCCCTTCTGTATGGGCATTGTATGTTGTAGCTTGGCCTAGCATATGATGGCTGTATATTAAAATTATTTAGATTATATAGAGCTGTGGGGCTCTTGAATGTGTAGTCTTTGTCATTACTCCTATGACAACCCACTTCTTCGGAACAGTCTGTTGGCCCTGAAAAGGACCGTGGCTGCTGAGATGCTTGATCGGAGAGGTAGCNTGATCATAGACTGCAGTCGGACTGAGTAACTCAGCGTTGGAGTCGCTCCTTTTTATACACTGGGGCGGAGCAAAACTCGAAAGTGAGGAGGAAGAATTGATTGGCTAGCGCGCGTAATGACGTAGATGCGTGCTAGCAGCGATCCCAGTATAAATATGAACGTTTGAAGCAATCTGGTTGGTTAGCGCGCATGATGGTGAAAAGTGATGTGAAGAGCGAGCGTTACAGAAATGCGTGATAATGTGGGATGTTCCCACAGAGCCTTTAAAAAAATGTGAATCATTAAATATAACAATCTAGCATAAGAAATTAAATGCCTCAGCAGTGGAAGCAGTATATTATTGTACCAATTTATGAGAAGGGCAGTAAAACTGACCATAGAGCTTATTGAGGAACAACACTGTTATCAACCTCAAACAAAATTTTATCCAATACAATTCTCTCAAAGTTAAGACCATATGTAAAAAAAATTATTAGGGATCAGCAGCATGGGTTTGACATAATATAGTAAATTAACTAATGATCAGATATTTGCACTTGTCAGTCACCAGAGAAAAGAATGGGATGACAATGAGACAGTACATCAGATATTCATGGAATTTGAGAAAGGCTATGATCTGGTTATGAGGGAAGTATTGTATGACATTGTCATGTTTGTGGTACCCCTGAAACTTGTTACACTTATTAAGATGGGTTTAAGTAAAACTTATAGCACAGCCTGTATATGTTAACATTTGTCTAGTACATTTACTATTCAAAATGCTCTAAAATTAGGGGATACTTTATCACCATGGCTTTTCAACTTTCCTCCAGAATTCGCCATTAGAAAGGTCCAAGAAAACCAGTTAGGACTGTAACTGAAAGGGATACATAAGCTTCTGGTCTCTGCTGTAAATCTATTGGGAGATATCTGTCATAGAGGTCAAGAAGTTCCATAAAGAACTAATCACCTATTTTCCTTTGATACAACACAGACCACAGACAAGACGAAAAAATTAAGGGGGGTTACATAGATGGACATACAGACACACAGACAGACATATAGACAGCAAAGTGATATCATAAGCCTCCTTCTGTTTTTTCAGAATAAGGAAAGTAGGCTGAAAACACAGAAGTCCTAATTGGCTCTAGTTCAGAGGCTGGTATAGAAGTAAACACAGACAAAACAAAGTATATACTGATGTCTCATCACTAGAACATATGGCAAGATGATAACCTAAAGCTAGCTAACATATCCTTTGAAAATGTAGCAAAGTCCAGATACTTGGAAGGACAATAAGAAATCAGAATCTGAATTATAAGGACATCACAAGCAGATTAAATTCGGGTAATGACTGTTATCATTCACTTCAGAACATTACGTCTTTTTGTCTGCTGTCTAAAAATGTAAAAATTGGAATATACAAAACTTTAATTTTGCCTGTAGTTTTCAGAACATTGTGTCTTCTGGCCTGCTGTTTAAAAATGTAAAAATTAGAATACACAAACCTTTAATTTTGCCTGTAGTTTTGTATGAGTGTAAAACATGGTCTCTGACATTAAAGGAAGAATACAGACTGCGGGTGTTTGAGAACAGGATGCTGAGTAGGATGTTTTGACATAGCCAGGCAAGGGATTATATAGAAGAATTCATCCTCAATGTACTACATGGTTAAATAATCTGCTACTGTTAATAATAATGGAACTTACTCTTAATATTTTCTTGAGCAATCCCATCACAATATCAGTATAGAGTGTTCTCTCGTGTACTTCATCCAGCATAATAACACAATAACTCCTAAGAAGTGGATCTGCCATCATCTCTCTCAGTAAAATTCCCTCAGTCATGTACTGTAATAAACAAATTTTTAATAAAACGATGAAACTTAAAACATACAGACAAGTAACTTTCGCTTTAAATGGAAACAAAGAATGAACCTCACCTTTATCCTGGTGTGCTCTCGATCAAAGCGATCATCAAAGCGAATGCTGTAGCCAACAACCTGACCCAACAAAGATCCTTTTTCCTCTGCAACCCTTGTAGCCAAAGTAGTAGCTGCTACACGTCTCGACTCTGTTATGCCTATAACTTTCCCATCACCACCCCATCCAGCTTCCAGCAAATACTGCAACCAATGGAATAATGACTTTATTGTTCATTGTTAGCTACCACATATATTAATTATCCTGATTTCATATGACCACCACCAAATAAACGGGGGCACACAGGAGCATAGTTGGTTGAGGCACTATGCTACAAGCTGGAAGGTCCCAGGTTTGAGTCCAAATGAGGTGGATTTTTTCAATTTACCTAATCCTTCCAGCCACACAATGGCACTGGGATTGATTCAGCCTCTAACAGAAATGATTATCAGGAATCTTCCTGGAGAGTAAAGGGCAGTTGGCGCATAAGTCTGACAACCTTATTGCCACTTGTGATCTGACTGCCTAAAGAAAATGCAGGAGCCTTGATGTCACACAACACTATAGGCCTTCTGGGCCTGTTACAAGTATAGCTTTACCTTTTTTTACTTTTTACCACAAAACAAAATGAAACATAGGTTTTAACAAGAATTATACTTTATTTTTAAAATGTGTATGTTGTGCTACATTCTTAATATATATAATTTACAAATATCTGATATCCATCTAGTTGTTTTAAGGAAAAAATGATACTTCAAAAGACCCTGCACCACCTCTAACGTAATAATAACTTAGTAAAGGCAACTTGTGATATGATAATACTGTAACAGATTTGATCACCGCGTTGCAAGGCAACAGTTCTGTAAACATGGTCCAAAACGCAACAATAGATGGGGCTGTGTTTTCTATGCCATCCGTGCCCAGCCACAGTGGAACAATGGAGTTATAAAACCCATTTCTAAGCATGGTCTCAATAATAAACACACTTCTGCATAAGCAGTGACATCATCAACAATAGAAACACTGTTTTCCATGAGGTCTGTGCAAAGTGCTTATAAGAGAAGTGAATGCAGTGACAGAAGTAGTTCAAGAGCAGTCGCAGGTCAATCATAAGCTGGAGGAGTGAGTCCAGAAGGATTTCTAATTCTGAGGTTCTCGAGTGGCTGGAGACGAACTAGCAAAAAGACTTCATAGTGATTTGAAGTGCTAATTTCTGTGTTGAGATTCATTGCTAGGAGACAACTAGTGGAAACTAAGAGTCTTAGTGCATGTGCAAGGGTGAACTGGAAACTGTGTAAGTCAGCGATAGTTCTGTATTTAAGTGTGATTAAGAGAACTTGTAACCAAGCTGCTAATAAATCCAATCATCCAAACTAAAACCCATTATTTGCATCATGCATACAACCCTACACGTGATAATATACAAAAAGGGATAGATGTTGAAGATGTTATGAATATCTGCAGAATAAATGTGACACTGATACAAAGTTACAGAATGCTTTCCAGTTACTCTCACAATAAAACAATGTATAAAACAATAATTTAAATAGCAGCAACTCTAATAAAATAAGTTGTGGAAATACAGCATGAACATAGGAGCAGGTCATGTTCAATGGCTTTCCACTCTGAACTCATGTTTGCAAATGCTAAGCAAACTATATAAAACAGAAACAGACCTCTTTACTGGTTTAACAGGTCCATGAACAAAATAAAAAGGACACAGGATTTTATGTTACACCATACATAGTACACTCCAACTAATTAAAGCAATATTGTTGGTGAGATACAATCTAAATTGTCATGTTACTGTGATGGCGTTTCTAAATATTATTTGGACACTGGTTTCTAATTACATTCACAACCCTTTCATGTATGGTCGACTAGCCTGTAAAGAAGTTAAACGGAAGTTCTTATACTAACCACTCCACAGAGGAAAGTACTTCCTAAGAAGCTGATATTCACTAAACTGGTCATGAAATTCCCCACAATTTATGGAAACCCCAGGTTTATCATCATGCTCACAACAGCTCACTACTGGATCCTACCCTCAGCAACTTTAATCCTGTTCCACCCTCCACCCAATTTAATATTAACCTTCTTTCTACACTTAGGTCTCCAAAGTTCTCTCATCAGGCTTTCCAATTAAAAATGTTATATTTTAGCGTCCTGTTGCACTGATTTAAGTCCATGATTTATTTCAACCGTCTTCCAGTGCATACACTCGTCTATCTCACTCCTCTCTCTCGCACTACATGTTTCGGCACAAAAGTTCCATCTTCAGGTGCTTATTCGATTTACGTTAAACTAGTTCACTGCATGCCTTGCNAAGAGAAAAATGTCCTGCATTCTCATGTTATTTCCTCTCTCTTAGGTTTGTATGTTTTCCTTGGCTCTCTGCCCTTATGCATGCTCTCAAAATTTGTGATCCAGCCTGCTTAAGTGATAATGGAGTATGGAGATTATGCCTGTAAATTGTTAGGTAAGCGAAACTGTTAAGGTTTTGAAAGAGCATACAATAATATCAATGAGGAATATTAAGTAGTACTAGAAACTGAAAAATGAGATGAACCAGAACCTCAATAAAATCTAATGATCTCTATCTGTCACTAAGACAGTGTAACAGCATTAACTTTTGAGTATATATATATATATATAGCAAGAGTTGTATATTAACCAAAATTCGTTAGATCAGTCCTAGGTTCACAACAAACATCCCATGTACCACACTGATGAAGCTGAAAGGGTGAGAAGTCCTGTCTGGTGACAAATCTATGATCATAAACTGTTAGATATTAGATAATACATACACTTTTCTGCAGCAGGTTCACTCTCTTTTACATTTAAAGGTGTTACATTTCCAGAAATTACCGGTTCAATAAACAATAATTTAATTCAAGCACTGCTGTCAACCATCTCCATGTACAAGTCTGGCAATCAAATAACAAAACATGCTTTTGTGCAGCAACATTTGTGAGTTGGCATATGTTAGATCACTTGGTTACATCATGCTGCACTTTTGTAACAAACAGTAGTTGTGAATCAGTTGAATTTAGCGTAGCATGAAGTGTTTTCTTGAAACAATATTTTTTGCAAACAAATGAGAACAAAAGAAATTTATTCAAGCCTTTCATGCAGAACTCAAACTTCTGTAAGTTTGTGGTGACATTTGAGTCTTCAATTTCAACTCAGAACTAAAATGCAAAGTATTCAGTAGAAAAGTCCAGTACCTGACAGCAACAACCAAAAAATGCAAATGTCAAATTCAAAAGTCAAACTATGCTGATCTGCTTTGGTGAGATGAAAGGAATTATCCATTATGAATCTTTCCTCCAAAATTAGGAGTAAAAATAAAAATTATGCATTCAAGTTTTGGAGCCTTTCAGCAGCACATCCAATCAAAATGATCTAATTTTTGGGCAGAATATGACAATTTGGCTTCCCATCCAGGACTTTTGGTCAAGAACATTTCATATAAATACAATATATACAAGGCTTCTGTCAGTCCAGGCTCAGTACAGCATATCAAGCCTATGAATTCTAGTGGCCATTTGGCTCCATGAGATTTAAGACAATTTTTGCAATGGCCAATATTTTAGCCTCCTCTAACACAGCACCATTAAACTCTATCATAATCTGCTGTACTACCGTTACTATAACTTTCAACATTTTGTCCAGAGGCAAACTGTTTACATTAGAGGCCTGAACTGACTGGCCTGTTGTCTGGTGTTCATGTTGGAGTAAAGCCACAGGAACCTTGGGTTCTATTGTGGCTGGAGCTGCCACTGCCACCTGATGTGTCTGAGGCTGCTGCTGTTCCTCTATCCTACCTCAGAGCACCACTGCAAAGGATTTGCTTGGAGTGGTGAGGTTGGAAGGGAACACCCTTCCCGTTGTAGTCCTGGATATCCTTGTGACTTCTATTTCTACATCTCCTCCTTTGCATGTCTGCAGCCCTGATAATTGGTAGGAGGGGTTTTTCTCCTTCCACTAACCGGCAGTTGCAGCATATTGGGGTGGAAGATGTATTCCCTTTCTCAGGGCACTCCTTGTGCAGGTCTCTACCCCCACACCACCAGCAGCAGGGAAGTTGCTTGCAGTCTGCCCAGACATGGCCAAACTGCTGGCAGTTATGGCATTGTGTAAGACCATTCTGAGCTCTATATGCCTCTACCCTGATTGCAATGTGGCAGAGGCTTGGCAGTTGGAAACTTTCTTGAGATTTTGCCGTCCTTGGCAAGGTTATTAGGAAAAGAGGGAGGTTTATGGTTTTTGATCCCTCAGGAGGTGACTGACAGGAGGCTGCCACATGCTTGACACTAATAACGTCAAAATCAAGGCTCACCAGCCCATCAGATATGTCTTCTGCAAGGGTGTTGTGTGGCAGGTGGTGTATCACTGCCTTCTTGAGTTTTTCAGAATTGGGGTAGAACGTGTAATAGGACAGATTATTGGTGTCAAAGTGGGATTTGACAGATTGGAAATCCACTATGCCTCTTGTGATGACTTTGGTAATGCTCTCCTTCAGGGGAATGTTTAAGGCAGTCAACGTTTTGTTCTGTACTACTTCTCTCTCTGATGTTCCATCAGCTTTGTCAGTAGTGTACCGCTTCTACCTCTGTACTTCTTGGAAACAACCCTCCTGCATTGTTCATTGCCCTATGGCTTTTGGTGAATTAGTATGGTCTGCTTGGGTGCTCGCCTTGAGCTGGGCCTTTAACTCATCTAAAGTTATTGTATAAGTGCTGTACAGGGCACTAAAGAGTGGCTTTCCATGGAAAGCTTCACAGTAACTGACTTTTTCTTACACAACATTTACAATGGCAGCCCATTCCACACATTTTGTGCTTTTTATAAATGGGATATGTCTTCAATTCAGTGTAAGATGAGAACATAGGTGGATGACTATGAGAAAAGTAGATCCCGTGAATCTTATCTTCATTAATTCTGATCTTCCAGCACTCATGCCAGGTCTCCACTGAGCTGAGACTGTGCTGGAGTTTCCTAACAACAAAACCCTCTTTGCAATCTGTCACATACAGACAGGTATTGTCTGCAAAGAGAGCTAAATGAACGCCATTTGTTTGGGGGTATCATTTATGTACATACTGAAAAGAGTAGGGGACAGGACTGAACCTTGTGGCATCCCTGCTTGCATTTCCCTTGGTGTAGACATTTCACCTTCCACTGAAACACTGAATTTTTG